TTTTTTTTTCACATTCTGTCTCTCACAGTTGAAGTGTACCTCTGGTGCAAATTACTGTCCTCTGTCATCATTTTAGGTGGGGGAACTTGCACAATCGGTGGCTGACTAAATACTTTTTTGCCCCACTGTAGTTAACGCTGAAGTCTGCTGTCTAAATTTCGCATTCTTATTTGACTCATATTTACTTTAACACCTTCTGCTATGTTTTGAAATGAACGACATCCTTAAAAAGAAATATTCAAACTACTTTGGGTGAGTATGATTGTGTAAGAACTAGAATGTTGTTAACACGTAGGGATCACCCCCAAGACCCTTAATGTCTAACCTGCTGATAAAATTGAGGGGGAGGTAGCAGTAATGGGGTGAATGAGGCTACTGCAGCAGCCACACCCCCCAGCCTCTAACTAATGCACCTCCCAAGGCGTTCAGGGCCCTGCTTGTGTGGTGATATGTTGTGAACCTAATGACTAGAGTGTAATTTAAAAAAAGAGGAAGCGTGTGAGACATGTTGACATCCTTGTCTCTACAAACAGTCCTATATGTAAATCTCAGAAGTGGAAAATGACACAAAATACGTGGACTGGACACGATTTAAGAACTTTAAAACATGAGAATCAGAATCAGAAAGACTTTATTTATCCCCAAGGGGCAATTAACATACAACAGGGCAGATAACCTTGAAGATAAGAACAATAAGATCAGAATACACAGAATATACAGTTTTAAAATTACAGTTTAAAATTAAAGTGACTGAAAGGTGAATACATAACTGTAAGTGACTAAGAGTGAATAAACTGTCGGTAGTATAAGAAGAGTGTAGAGTAGTTTTGTTTCTGGTGTGGGAAATGGTCTTATCTGGGCTTATCTTAAAAAGCAGGGTGGCCTTGGGGACAAAGTCCTGCAGGAAATGCAGCGGAGGCATCGCCCAGAGGGCAGCCATTGAAATGCAGGGTGAAGAACGTGAGAGGGGTCGTTGATGATTTTGGCTGCCAGTCTAAGGGCCTGTTGGCTAAAAACCTGTGCCAGAGTTCTGACAGGCAGGCCAATGATATTAGAGCACACTGATGCAGTGTGCTGCAGTCTGTTCTTGTTCTGAAGGCTGAGGGAGTGGAACCAGCAGGTGATGGAGAAGGTCATGATGAAGGCATAGTAAAAAGTCATCATGATGGGTGTGCTGACTCCAAAGGAGTTGAGTTTCCTAAGGAGGTATAGCTGTTGGTGGCACCTCCTGAGAATCTCCTCTGTGTTGGCAGAGAATTTCAGGAGGTTGTCAAAGATGGTTCCGAGGTATTTGTACTCCTCAACTACCTCCACTGGCTTCCCGTGGATGGTGGTGGTGACTGAAGCAGCCAGATCCCTCTGCCTACTGGAGAAGGTCACCACCATCTCTTACCACCATCTCAAACCTGGTGTAGAAAGCGTTGAGGTCGTCAGGGAGGGAGGAGGGGTTCCTGCTCTCCACCTGGATGGTTCTGGGGGTGATGACCACAGTATTCACAGAGGCCATGGTTTTGAGGAACTGCCAGGCTGAGTGGAGGTCCCCTGTGGTGAATTTTTTTTTCAACTGTGTTTTTCTACTCCAGTTTAGCAGTTTTTATGGCTCTCTTGAGCTCCTGGTTGACCTCCTTTTTGTCCAGAGCAGAGCTGGTAACATGAGAAAAGCACAAGAAAAAAGCTGAAGTCAGAAAAGGTTAAAAGGTGAAATACTCGACCATTTGTAGTCTTAATCATGTTGAAGTGGTCTCTGTAGTGCAATACATAACTATACTACTGCACACTGTGCAACCTAAACTTTACACCTGTTATATTAAAGTTTTCCACACTTCCTAAAAGACACTTCTTGAAGTCTTCTGCCCTTTTGCCTAAACTTTAAACAAAAATACTCTACAAAAAAACAAACAAACAACAACCACACAAACACATTCAAAACTGGTTAAACTCAGAATCACACAGTATCACTCTGACTCTGTTACTTCTGACGTTTAATAACCTGTTTATGCCACTGTTACAGGGCGTAAACTCACTTGTCAGTAGTGCACAGATCTTATCTGCAGTCTGGCATTCTGCTCTTATTAGAGCAGCAATAAAGAGTTCATAACATTTCTGAAATTTGCAATATGTGGTTTTGAATTGGTTTGTGTGTGTGTGTGTGTGTGTGTGTGTGTGTTTGTGTGTGTGTGTGTGTGTGTGTGTGTGGACACT